ATGGAGTCGTGAGAGCTCTTCCCCCAGGCTGGTCTTGAACCATGACCCTTCCCCAAGACACCTTCCAACGTAACTAGGCTCGTGGGTGAGAGCCACCACGTTTAACGCTGGCTCACTGTGTTACAGAACACAGATGGCAGGACATTCAGTCTAGTCCGGTAGTTAAAAAAAAACAAAAACAACCACAAAGAAGACAGAATTGAAAGACAAGTGGAATTTTGTGACCAAGACACACACAAACACACACACACACACACACACACACACACACACACTGGGGTAACTTTAGACAGAATGAGATTTGATGAAACCTGTGATTCCGGTGTCCATGCTTTAAGTATTGTTAGCATGCTACTTATTTTTCAGAATAAATTTTATAAATCAATTAACAAGAAAGTTGTCCTAATAGAACCTTACCAAAAAGAATGAGATCCACATAGGAAAGAGTCTTTTTGCCCCCCAAATTCTAGCAGTAGTGAAAAGCATTTAACATCGGTACAGTGTGTGGAATGTGGGACACACCCTGCAAAAGGACATTGCTGGTAGAAGAGGACTAATCCTCTCCACAAACCCTCTGAAACAAATACAAATGGGGAACATCAGGTTTTCCCAGAACTGGAGATCCTAGCCTTAACAAAGCCTCAGCCTTTACACTGCCCTAGCCAATGAACAAACTCGCCTTAAGCATTCTAAGTTAGCAATTAAAGACAGCACAGAAACAAAAACGGGATTAGAGAAACTCAGCTACATTTTTTTTTCTCCCACAGAAGTGGCAAGTTCATTGTGCATTGGAAAGTTAAGGCTGGTAACACCACTAGCTACCAGGAAGTGTGAGCAGAATCTAAAAGAAGTATAGTTTTGTTTGAGCAATCAAGAATTCTCTTTTATTGAACCAAGGCAGCAGATAGAGAAGGAGATTCTCAGAAGGGGGAAGGAAGGAAAAAAAGAAAAAGGAAAAAAAATCTTTCAACCCGAGGGATCTAGAGCTACATTATTATTTCCCAATGAAGTGAATGTCAGCTTCTGAAGAAATGCTTCGTTTCTTCAGAAAGCAACTAGTCACTTGTGTTGTAGAAAACAGACGGAAGGTGGGAAAACTATATTTGAGTGAGAACATCTGATATTCAGCCTCAAAATTTTCTCTCAAAATTTGGTCACAATTAAGTATTGATTTGTCCCTGTCAGTATGTTTCTTCTTTGGAAATACTCTGTTTTCTTATCAACTGCAGAAACCCCTGGACTTTTTTTTTTTTTTTTGTCGGTCGTGGGGCCTGAACTCTGGGCCTGGGCACTGTCCCTCAGCTCTTCAGCTCAAGGCTAGCGCTCTACCACTTGAGCCACAGCGCCACTTTCGGCTTTTTTCTTTTTGTTTATGTGGTGCTGAGGGATCGAACCCAGGGCTTCATGCATGCAAGGCAAGCACTCTACCACTGAGCCACCTTCCCAGCCCAAATCCCTGGACTTTTAAAGCCCTTTCTTGATAATTGGAGAAATACACTTATAGGCTCTGTCATGATCTCAATAAACTTAGCTAAAAAGTTGCCTACCTTTCCTTTGGACATTAGCATGGAGTATAGAAGCAAGGTATTTTAATACTTTCTATGCCCTCTGCCTCATCTGTGACTAGTAATGAAAATACAACCCAAAGATTCTAAGGGTCTCTGCTTCTTTAAAACAAAAACCATAGGTTGGCCCGTGGCCTGTAAACATCCACCATCCTACACAGGAATGGCTCCCCACTGTCCCTTGCTCCCCAAGACTGCTGTCTCCAGAGCAAGCTCCAGAGCCTGGGGAAAGCCAGGAGAGCCTATGTGAAGTCTTGGTAATAGGACGCTGCAGATGGCAGCATCTCACTACACTGAAGGTGCACTGTGCAACCACACAGTCTGCTGCAGACATTGAGCCTTTCCAGGGCTAATGCTCTCCAAATGGAGATTCAGGGACCCAGGCTCCTGCCATCTTATAGCTCCACTGTTTTTAGGAAAGCATCTTCATCTCCTATAGCAAGGCAAGAATCAGCCTCGGGTCTCTGGTGGGCCCGCCTGGGATGAAGCGCCCCAGCAGTGACTTTGGCCTCGGGCCCACTTGGCCATGCCTTGTCACAGAGTCCTGCCAGTAGCAGAAGGCTGGGAAGTGCAGTGCTCCACACGCTGGGCAAAGCCTAGCGCCGATGCTGGGGAGCACCTGGGCTTGTGACTCCTCCTCTTCCAGCAATGGCTAAGGGAGCCTCCAAAATGATCAGCAGTCCTAACAGTTTTTTGGTGGTGGTTGTTTGATGAAGGGAGAAGAGACACGTTAGCTTGCATGAGATTCATGGGAGAGTAGTTTATCATTTAAAAACTCTAATAACCTTTTTTTTTTTTTCCAGGGAAAAAAAATTGAAGGAAGGAAAGAAATGGCCTCCAGGACTGGTTTACGGAGCTACAATTCAGTGCAAATTCCAGAAGCCACAATACTGATGCTGGGCTTAACCCATGATTATCTTGTCCCAATCTGGCTGAAGGATTTAACTGCATACTATGTCGCGATTCCCTTGAGTTCTAGCCACGGGTGATCATCTAGCATTTAAACCAACGCTAATAATTCCGACTAAGTACAAGGACTTTCAGGCATAAGAGGTGTCTCAATCAGTGCAGTCACACCGATTGTTTAAAAACACGTTTCAAGCTTTGGAAGAACGGCTGTTCTCAGCAGGTGTGGAATTAATTCGGGAGGAGGGGTATGTGAGAACACCGAGTGTTTTTTTTTCTTTTAACAATTCAGAGAGAATATCACATTTTGAAATATTGCCTCTGATTTAAAATATTTAACAGACTTCTACCATAAAAACTAGGTCATTCAACAAATAATTCAGATTTTTTTTCTTCTGCACTATTATATGTCAGGTGTGTGCTCACTGCTGGGGTGACAGAGATAGCCGAAGTTGCTCCTTCATGACAGGTAATGGACAGCATTGCCTAGAGTTTTATTTTTGCAAGTAACAGAAATCCCAGCTATTTGTGGCTTTGGAAATAGAAAAAAAGTCTGGGTTAGAGAGATGTTGGCCAAAGGACTCAAAAGTTCAATCAGACAAAAGGAATAGGTTCAGGAGTCTACTGTGCAATATGATTTTAGTAACTAATAATATCTTTTGAAAATTACTGAGAGCAGACTGTAAATGTTCTTACCACAAAATAAGTATTGAAGCAATTCATATATTAACTAGCTTGGTAGAAACATTTTACCATATATACGCACACATAGGTTTCAAAACATCACATTGCACCTAAGTATGCACAATTTTTATCAACTAAAAATACTAAAATAAAATTAAAGGGACACATTGCCCAAAAATGTTGTTGGTAACATAGCTGGCTAAATGGCTATAAGTACAGGTCTAGTTTAGCATTGTGATTAAGCTTAATAAAAAAAGGTATTTTTTTCTATGCAGCTATTTTATATTTGGGTCTGTGCTCTCCCCCAAAGCAAGATTAATTAGCCTTTGCTACCTTGCTACCAAAAAAAAAAAAAGGAAAAAGGGAAAGGTTTCCATGACTGTAGAAATAGTAGTTATAATAAGATGACTAAATTACACTGTGGAGAATTCAGTAGAAACAAACCGTAGCTCCTCAGTCTTCCACAACCAATCCGTATCAATTGTTTCAGGCTTCTATAATTTCACTGAAGTGAAATATTTGACTTTTTTTTCCTCCCTGAATTTCTATGTTTGGGAGAAAGACTATTCTTTTTTTTTAATTATCATTTAACGTTTTTATTTCCTTTTAGAATTTTTACTTTTTAGAAAAGTAGTTGTTCAAAGCCGTTTCAATTATTCTGCCACTGGAAGACCTACGGATCTTTGCAAGCCTATCTGGGTGTTGGAAGAGCGGGAAGGCGGCTGTGGGTGCCCTATGAAAGCTGACATGGAGTCACTGCTCCATTTCATCTAGGGACCTGCTGCTCTCCCTGCTCGATTCCCTTAGGGGGTCAGGTTCCTCTGCTTAAAAGAATATTGCCTGCTCTCTGAGCTAATGATTTGTTTGGAGGATGGAAGTCTCCAAGGTGGTGATAACCGCACAGCTTTTATAATGTATCTTTCAGATCTTTGATCTGATTTTTTTTTCTCCTGAATACATGGGACCCCTCCATGCAAGATTAAAGATGCCTCTTTGTAGAAGAAAGGCAAAAATTCGAAACTTAAAAGCGGCTCCGGTTTCCAAATAAGATTTTTGGAGTTTTTTTTTTTTTTTTTCATTTTGTCAACATCGTGTTTAGTGAGCGGCTTCCTTCATTCATGTGATAATTGGATGGGGAACACAGGCTTCCCAAGGAAGCTACAAATTTGGTTTTTAAAAAGTGGTTAGTGCTCGCTAGCTTATGATCAGAGGATAGGCACACACCCCAAATTCCACCTAATTCAACAGATATTTACATGCATCCTAATAGATGTCAAACAATCTTCTTTTATAGAGAATACTAAGAATCAGGACCTTTTTTTTTTCTTTTGAGAGAGAGATTTCTACTCAAATTGGGCAGCAAAGCAATGGTACGCAGTAGGGTGTAACAGATAACCTGATTTTGAGGAGAAATGAATGACATTTGATCTGGGAACAGAGAGAAGAGACCACTGAGAAGGAGGGGAGGAAAGAGATCAGAGAAAATTTCAGCACTTAAGGATTTTTCTTTTCTTTTTCTTTTTTGGGAGGGGGTAGGTTATGGGGCTTGAATTCAGGGCCTGGGCACTGTCCCTGAGCTTTTTTGCTCAAGGATACTGCTCTCTCATGTTGAGCCACAGCACCCCTCCCAGTTTTCTGGTGGTTCATTAGAGGTAAGAGTCTCATGGATTTTCCTGCTGGGGCTGGCTTCAAACTGTGATCCTCAGATCTCAGCCTCCTGAGTAGCCAGGATTACAGATACGAGCCACCAGCGCCTGCCACTTAAGGACCTTTCTGCATAGGCCAGGTTTCCAGTGGTAAAGCTGACCGGAGAGGTGATAAACGGAAGGTTGATGCCATGGGAAGGGGTCCAAAGTGTCCAGAAGTTTGCATTTAACCAAAAGTCAGTGAGAAGCTAATTGAGAACTTTAAGCAGAGTAAGGAGAAAGAGTTATGTTTAATTACTATTTTGATGCATTTTAATTTTTGCTATAATTTGAATAAGAAGTATGTCTGGGTAAACAAGCATGCTTTTTCATACTGTAGAGGTTTTTTTCCTCATAGAATAATTACATTAAATATGTCAGTTGTATGAGAATGAACTTCTCATTTGTCCTTAATTATTTTTCATTATTATAATGATATAGCACATCCATGCATGGATTTCTAATCTGTGTGAAGCCAGTCAGTAAGAAGGAATAGTTTTAGAGTACTTGGAAGGATGTAATTTCTTCCTCCTCCTTCAATCTACAAATAATTGACGTTCTAATATCTGAATAATATTTAAAATGCATTTTTTGGTTCTGTTCCTAAGTCATTTGGGACAAAATATGACCTTTCAAAACATAAGGAGATAAAGTGAAAGAACTATAGAAAAATAAATAGCTTTGTAGAGTAAACAAAAGCAGTAGATTTTTCAAAGGCCAAAACCAAGATGGATCTTCAGCCAGTCATAAGCCGTTTTTATTCAAGAGAAATGGTTTTCCTCTGTAGTTCTCATTGCAACAGTGAGAGTTTATTCCAGATAAAATTTGAAAATGTGAATAGCTCAGCTGATCCTCTACCAAACCTCTATCAGAGCAAGTCCTTGAACACAAATCATTTTTCTCTGCTTTGTCACCTCCTATTCTTGACAGAAAACCTAAGAGCCTAGGAATTATGGAACTCAAAAAATTATAGAACAAACTTCCAAGGCAACACAAAGTCCTGATGTGAGCAAATCATGACTTAGCAGTGGTTATTGGCAATTGGCACCCTTGGACACGTTGACACTCACCAGACTGCCTGCTTATGATGACTTTATCTTGTTTCCTCTTACTCTAAATATATTTGCAATAAGATTTATCCTGATTTCATAATCAGGGCACCACAAGTAGTCAGTGAAATTCTACTGACCTGTAACAGTCAATAAAATCCTTTTTTTGCTTTACTTACTATTGTTTATTATTTTATCTTGTGACTATATAAATATCCAAACATGTCCTCGTTAGAGCTAGAATGAGTTCAAATCACAGAGGAAATACTTCTTCAGACAGTACAGAGGCTTTGCCTCATGTTTCCACTTAAGTTACTGCAAAATCTTTCAAATAATTTACATTTGAAAGTTTAAGGTACAAATAATTGTGTAAGTCGAAGGCTTATCATGAACAACTAGGCTTGCCTGTTTGACGGAATCTTGTTATGTAGCCCAGGCTAGCTTTAAACTTAAATTCACCTGCTTTTGCCTTCCAAATGCTAGGATTAAAGGTGTGCACTATCATGCCTGGGGCCTTGTTTATTTTTTTCTTTAATATTCTTTACTAAAGTTCTTAACTGGAGACTACAGCTGAACCAAGTTGTCATACAAAACTCTTACATACTCTTGAGTTGTTTGTAGCTGATTAACTTTAGTTTTCCCCGTGATAGCAGGATATAGGAAAACAATATTAAAGGAAATCACTTTCAAATATTTTCTGATATTCAAGAAAAAATTAGTAAAATAGGAGAACGAACTACCAGTGTTAAGGTAAGTGCAGAATATAAAACAGCGTATTAGTCTTAAAAGCTTTCTCTTGCCCACATGTGATATGCTAATGAATGTTATTTTTAAAAAGTGTAATGTAATTTTACATTTCTTGCAATTGATCTATACATTATGGAACAGTGGACTATTATAGACTATTTTAGATGATGGGGAGCTGGGGTGGTGGCACACTCCAGGAATCTGATTACTCCAGTAATCTGCTCAGAAGATTGAGATTTGCAGAATCATGATTTGCAGCAAGACTGGGCAGAAAAGTCTAAGATTCCAGCTCTAAAACAATGAGTGTAAAAGTCGGGTGGGAGGCATAGCTCAAGTGGTAGAGTGCCAGCCAAACGAGTCAGCCAGGTAAGTGCGAGGTCCTATGTTCAAATCTCTGTAGAGCCCCCCCCCCAAAAAAAAAAGATGACTGGGAGAAAAAAATCAACTTGAGAACAGTGACTCATCAGGTAGGCCTAACCATTTACCATGATCATATGCTTCTCGTAAACGCCCAAAGTGCATTACGGTGTGTATAACTACCTCTCATGTAGGAAGGAATAAAAAAATTAGTAAAATTAACAGCCAAATTAAAATCACCAATGGTTGAACTACCTTGTCCAGCGGAAATGACCTGACTATGAAGCATGACAGAAATCACCAAGGCCCTACCCTGCTCCTTCTCGGGGTCCAGCTCCTGCTCAGGGTCCAGCTCCAGGTGGCTTCGGCTCTCCTTCCAGGACAGCAGACAGTCCAGGCCTCTGACGTTGTCGGAGCCAATGCAGTTGTTCATCGCCAGCATCATCTGGTGAGCTTTGGCAATGCCGTAATGAACTTTGGTTTCATCCATCAAAGACATGTTCCTGAGGTCCACTGTTGTGTCAAAAGCTTGCTGGAAGAATTTAGAAGCTTTGCTGTACTTTCCCTAAAACAAAACACAACAAAAAAAGTAACAGGGGCCATTTAGAATGTGTTCTGTCATCATTCCGTGTTTGCTCACTTCTCTTCCATGCCAAGCGCAGGCCTTTCAGGCTATGATGGCTCCTCTTTGAGAAGCAAGGGTGGCGTCCGGTAGACTAGGTTGGATCCGAACCTTTAATTTGGTCAGAAGCTGCAGTTATTACTTGGATTAAATGAAACTTAAGTTCTTTTTGATTAAAGAAAGGGGGAGCAAATATTGTCAGTTCCATCTGGTACCCAATACAACGTAGCAGATTGAAGACTGGCGGGGATGGGTGGGGTGGGTGGAGAGGAACCAAGCCATGTTGGTTTTGATGGAATTTTATTTCTCATACCATTGTATTTACCTAAGGAAATATTTCAATTATCCTGTTTCTTGTCACAGTAAAAGACCACTTTCTGCCAACTCAGTTAATGGAAAAAAAGGTGTCTATTTGCTGATTTGGTCATGGTCCTTATTTTCTCATAAATTTTCAACTGAGAACAGAAGGCCAACTAAGTTCTTTAAAAACCCAGGATCTCAATAACACCATCACAAAATTACTATATGACTATGCTTTTTAAAAAATTAAGTTTAGTGGAACACTTTAAACTTAAAAAAATTAAGATTTTTTTCTATCCATTACCTCTCTTCAAAGCCGTTACCCACAAATAGAAGCTTTCATGAAACACTGAAACTGGTGGCAGAAACTTTATATATATTGTGTCATTATCTTCCATCAGTCACCCCAGAAGAAAAATATTATTTTACAGAAAGTAAAATGGAGTCTCAGAAAAGAGGCACCTTCTGCCACCAGCAAATGCTCTGAAAATCCTCATGAAGAACTTTTCCTTAAGTAAGGATTTTGGGTTTAGGATTGAGCTCTACTTGTAAAGACTCCTCAAAACAAAACTGCCTGCCTTCAGTGACCCATAATCTTTTGGTCTTCCTTCTTCCTTTCCCTTCCCCCTCTTCTTCCTCTCTCTACTTTCATGCACACAAACAAAAATACTCACACTGCCCAAACATAGACATGTTCTACAGCACAGCGGGGAAACTGGAGTTGACAGTGGTCTATCCTGTATTTTATCAGTCACAAGGAGGCACTCAGAGCCACTGAACACAAAGTAAGGAGAAGGAGATGGAAACCTCAGTTGAGCAATTGTGTTGATCACACTGAATATGTGTCATCTCACCACACATGGTAACTATGGACAATCAATATAGTAAGAAAAAAAGAAATATAAAATAAACTTAAAAATATGGCTGATCACTTTGTTCTAAAGAAATGATTACCTGCGAGAGCATTTTACAGTAAATGTTTAAGTTATTTCTGCATATTTTATGAAGGAAATGAGCATAAACATAATGATGCAGAAATAGCTTTATTGCCAGAACCAGTACAGTTGGCATGGGTCTGCGCTTCCTTGATGATCTGTATAATTTTGGAGTTCAGAAGGCATCAGACTGCTGGAAAGGCAGGCTGCCAGCCAAGTGGGGAGAGGTCAGCAGGCCTGGGTGACAGGTCGCATACACTAACAACCCAGCCAATAAACACTGTGTGTACCCTACCCCCAAGGACAGGCCAGGCAAGGTGTTAATTCAAAGGATTTCTTCTAACTAAAGGGATTCACATCAGTAATAACATTGGTTGAGGTAAACATTGTTTTTCTCTTATTAAAATTACATGGAATTTATATAAGAAAAAGATCACTTAATTACGAAAAAATAAAACTGTACCAAAAGTGATATTTCTGTGATGAGCAAGTAAATGCGGACTGAGAAACAGTAGAAATGTGAGAGATGATGAAAATGGAGATTGTCTTGATAGGTACCAAAGGTACAGGGTCAAATATGTAAAAATATATAATGAGGCCAAACACTGCCTTAATAAAAGCATTTTGTTATTCCCCTTCTCCTCCCCAAGTTAGATACATGTATATACAAGATGCAGGGTACCAAAATCAAGTACAGTGACAATAGGGCATATACCATTGGGGGAAAGAGCATACAAAGGAAACCAAAAAAATCACATAGTACATTAAAAAGAACAAAAACAAAGAAAGATCTCTTGTGTTCCTATCTTGGGGTTCATTTCACTAAGCATCATCTTATATGGTCATATGTACAAAGCTTTTGAGCTTTTCTGCTCATCTGAAACAAAGGAGGGGGTAACAATGCTCCACAAGAAATGTACTCATTACCTTACTCATGTCACGGTAACCCCTCTGTACAGCATCTTTACAATAAAATAAAAAATTTAAAAAAGCAATAGAAATGCATCTAACTATTGTTCTAATTATACTACTGAATTTTATCATTTTAGGTGAGAATTTGAACTTGGAAAATGGGTGTAAATGAGTGGACATATATTCAAATTTTGAGAATTACTTTTATGTATTATCATGTTAAAAAGTACTTATTCATCTGTTCGTTTACTAAGCAGCCACCATGATTGGCCCCACACCAGAGAGTGGCAATTCAACAATGACAGAAGAGACAGAGAGAGTGCTGAGCTTGTCATTAGTGGAAGTAATGATATATACTTTGACTTTAACTAATAAGTGAATTTTCCCTAGAACAGAAGCACTGTAATTAGATAATTATCCTTCACTCAAGTTGTATATTGTATTACATCTGTAGGACTCAAATCTGGTCTAAACATAAATAGCCCAAAATCCTGCCAAGGAAATTGATCATGAATTCTCAGATGCAAAAATTTTTATACTTACTGTTTTGGAGTGAGTTTTAACTCTTAAAGAATTTATTATTTAAATTGAATCTTTGGTTTTTTAAAAAAAGTCTGTGCAGTCTTCCAGTTGTTCCTATTGTGAAGTTATATCTATTCTAATAAATTCAAAAGATTTCAAAAATCAGTCCTGACAACCTTAAATCTGAGTTAGAGAGATGGCGTGAGTTTAAGTCTCATAAATACATCTTACAGGAAGAAGACCATGTCTTTTAATGACAGGCGTATGGGAAAATTCTAAGTTAAGATCTCAGTGACATCAGAGATGTGAAACAATGCCTAAGCTGTTGTTGCATTATCACAGAATTTCACACAATATTCTGAGTTACCAATGGGTCGTCATGTCTAAGATATCACTCAATACATCCAGCAACCTCAAAACCAATGGGCATTTTCTCAGTAGTAAGGATTAATCATTTCCTGTCCCTCTTTCTCGTTACTGTAGTATTGGAACTATGATTCTTTTGATTATGTAATTTATCTGATCTTATTAAGGAACGAGAAATCACATAAAGGGTAAAGATCTGATGATCTCAGGATGAAGAATAAAATTTAAGGAAAAATTGATGAGTTTATACTAAGTGACTAAATCAACAAGCTAGTAGATTATGAGTCTAGAGTTGGGGAGGGAAGACTCAGGGGAGATTCATACCTGGGCTATTAAAGAGTTGGGAGTCAGCCAGGTACCAGGTGGCTCATGCCTGTAATTCTAGCTAGTCAGGAGGCTGCATCTGAGGATTTCAGTTTGAAGCCAGCAGAAAAGTCTGTGAAACTGTTATCTCCAATAAACTACTAAAAAAAAATAGCTGGAAGTGGCAATGTGGATCAAGTGGTAGAGTGGTAGCCATGAGCAAAAGAAGAACCAGGACAGAGCCCAGGACCAGAGTTCAAGTCCCAGGACTGGCAAAAACAAAAACAAAAGAAAACAAAAACAAAAGAGCTGGTAGTCGTTGTATATTTAATACACACTAGGAACTGGGAGGTCTACTAAGTCCCCTATGTTTATTTTAAAACTTCTGATCTGTACATAGCTTTTAAGGTGCCTTGTTACTAGCAACTGAAAGATGAAGCTCAAAGATCAAAGATCAAACTGAGGATCAAAGTATTAATTAAAAAATTTGCATAATGGCTCAGCTTCTTTATTAGTGGTTAAATCTATAGCTCAGATTTAGGTGGATAAAACCAAGGTCCTCTTTGTTTTGCTGTAACTTCCAATTTACTTTTAGTGCTGGTCTTGGGGCTTGAACTCAGGGCTTTGGTACTTTTCCTGGGCCTTTTTGCCCATGGATCCTCCTACTATAACTGAGCCACAGTTCCACTACTAGCTTTTTTTTTTTTTTTTGGTAGTTAACTGGAGCTAAGAGTCTCATGAACTTTCTGCCCAGGCTGACTTTTGAACTGTGACCTCCTGAGCAGACAGGATTATGGGCATGAGTCTCCAGCACCTGGCTCAATTTACTTGTGAGATTTTGACTTAGTAGAAAACCCAGGAAGTCCCTGAACTTGTAACTGTCTGGCCTTAGCCCCTTGAGTGCTGGGATTGTGGACATGTGTCACTAGCTTTCTTCTTGGAAAAGCTTGGTATATAGTTGTATATATTTATAGGGTGGTATTAAGCTATATAACTGGAATAAAGGTATTTAGTACAATTAGGAAATATCTGCAAGTCATTGAAAAGTAGAGATATAAATCATTTATTTTCAATGTTTTCCTAGGAAATGGCTTTTTAAAAACTTGAAAGAAATTCAAGTTGCTATTAAGATTTTCACCATCTCAAAAATTAAGAAGGAAAAAAGAACTACCATTTTAATCTAATGAATCTACTTTTTGGTGTCTATTACTGCTGTCAAATAATACTCTAATTATTTAACAATTCAGAGTTAGCCTGATAGGTCATCAGTAGCTTTTTTAATTTGAAGATTGCTCCCCAAATACTACTATTACTATTACTGCAACTTCTCCTCCTCCACTTCCTCCTCCTCTTCCTGCTCTTCCTCTTCCTCCTCCTTTTCTTCTTTCTTCTCCTCCTCTTTCTCCTCTTCCTCTTCCTCCTGTTTTTCCTCCTCCTCCTCCTCCTTTTCCTTGTATTATTATTATTACTATTACTACTGCATAAATATTAAATGCAACTTTAACACATTGAATATGTCTTAAAAAGATCAAGAGATCTTTCACAGTTGAAGAATATTATTGCCCTAAGAAAATGATGGATCCTATTCATGGTCAAACAATTAACGTTATGAGCCTCTTTCATATGATTTCTCAAAGAGATTCTAGGATGGAGAAAGGCCAAGGTTGGGAGAAAAAAACTCAAGAGCCCACAACAACCAGTGCACTTGCATACTGTCAAAAATCTTAAGTGTCCTACAAAACCACTTTGGTGCTGCTGTTTCTCCTCAGGGATTGAGCATGGAGTGTCAGAGCTGGATGAATAAATCAAGAATCTGGGGCTAGAAAAAGAACGTTAGGGACGAACACATATAAATCAGGGTTGGTGGCTTGTGGGGCTATCTACGCCTCGGACCGCAGGAAGGACTACAAGAGGAGGCGGTGGGGACTACTAGAGGTCTTTCTCTTCCCAGTCCTTGTCTTGCGTACCCATCACTTCCAAGGTCCTGATGTTTGACATGACAGGTATAGAGAAGGCAAGGATCAAATGAGAATAGACAATTAAAACTCTGCAAATTTTCTCCAACAACAAGAAACATCAATACTCACTTTTTCGTTATAGATGTCACCAAGCATGGTACTTGCTCTCACAACATCGAGACTTTGGAAATTGTTCCTAGCAATTTTCACAACTTTTTCCAAGTATTTAATCGCTTCTGTCGTCTCTCCTTTGCTATAATAAATAACACAGGAAGCCATGAGAGTATGGTCTCACTTAATATCACAGTGAAAAGAGGCTATTTGGTTATCTCTGCTGTAGAAAATTCAGGGTGGTTGAATGAATGGGTCCATAAAATATGGTGTAGGCATACAAAGAGATAGTAAATGCAGTCATGAAAAGGACGTACTAGTACATATTAAAACATGGATGAAATTTGATAACATACCAAGTCCAAGAATCTAGATCACTCTATATATGATATGAATCCATGAAGACAGGAAGTAGATTAGTGTCTCCTAGAGGTTGGGCAGAGCCTGAGAAATGATTTGATAATGAATGCTGGATTTCTTTTTAAGGATAATATATAGGTCTTGAAATTAGTAATAGTCATGTGTACACAAACCTTTATGAAAGATGAATGCTGGTTTATTCTTCCAGCTTTCCTCAGCCTTGACAACTCAGATGTCAGTAACCCCACACATACGAGTGTTCTATATTAGGGTAAAATGTTCTAAGTTCTAAGTTCTAGCAGAGTGCTTGACATATCCCAGGCATTTATATGCACTGTGTGTGTGTGTGTGTGTGTGTGTGTGTTTATTATAGAGTTGAAAATTTGAGAAGTGAATTATGTCATTCACATCAGAATTAAGTTTGAAGGTAAACTGTGAGATCCTCAGCTGTGGAATTTATGACTAAAGTTATTTCAATAACATCAAGAAAATTTGTGGAGTTAGTGAATACCCTCAAATACTTGAGGACTATGTCTCCTAACCTTGAAGACTCTCACTGTCGACCCGATGATGAGATAACTATTAATTCTATGTGGGGCTCTGAGCTTGATTTCACTGTTTCCCACTCTAGCATTCCATCGGGGTACTTCTCCAGATCTCATAAGGAAGCTCAAAGGAATTTGATGAATTAATGAAGGCCAATCTGGGTGAGCACCATGATCTCTAAGTATTTATATAAGCTGAAAATAATTGTGACAGGAGACATCTTTGAACTCGTAACGATCTGAAATAGCTAGCATACGCACCAATTCACAGATGGCTTCTGTCTTCCTCCTCTGTCCTCTCCCTGGTTTCCATATCATAGCTCTGGAGTCACTGCTCTTAAACACTCTCTTCTCTCTCCAAGTGTTCTCTCCTCTCCGGCCTCCAGCACACTCAGCCTGCCTCTCCTCTTTCATTTCTAGATCACTCAGCACGACCCGTGGCCTCTGCCCACGCAAAGCTGACTCTTTCCAGAGCTCTGCCAGGGCCTTGCTCTCTCCCCAGACAATGCTTCCTGTGGGAAGTGTCAGAGACTTTCCATGGTGTGACCTAACTGCTAGGTGCTAATGCTTGGGAAATCTATTTCTGGCCCTGATTTCTCCTGTATTTTAGACCTAATTTCTCAGCTGTTCTTAGTGTACAACAGAACAAGTCTCTCCCAGTGGTTGTCTTCCAGGGTGATGCTGAGGGACAGGTTCATGGACTACTGCTTCAGGAGCAAACTCCATCAGTGTTTGTAGATGACCTAGTAAATTTTGTCCACAAATGGTATTACACATAACTTTTTTTTCCTGTTTTTTAAATGTGACTACACATTCTTTGGGCTATTTCAGAAACTCAAATTGACCTCTCAAAAATATGTTGAAACTATTCAAAATAGTTTAACAGAAGAAGTAAGTCAGAAACATTTTGACAGGAGTTTATATGAAACTTATAGCTGCATGGTTAAGGATGCTGATTTGCCTAACATCGCAAGATTTTCATAAACTGAGGTGTATTTGTAAATAAACCATGTTACTATGGATATTAGAAAGAACTAGGTGTGAATCTCAGCTTGGTTTCTCAGATAAAGATCTTGATCATGTTACAGTTATGACCACAACAACCACAAAATGCAAAAAAATTCAGTGAATAGCAACTACAAAAATGATACAATTATTGCTAGAGAGGGAGCTTTTTAAAAATTTCCCAAAGGAATGACAGAACTCCCAAATATCCCAAATTATTTTAGATTGCTCTAAAAGCAATACTACAGTAAATCCTTCTATTACAAATCATATGCTCCAGTCAGCAAATGCGTAGCCCTATAGCTAGCAAAGTCATTCATATAGCAACTGAAACATAAACAATGAATGTTGGTGGGTCAAAGATGGATGTAGAAGCTAGTCTTCCCTCAGAAGAGGAGAAAAATCAAACATTTTCCTACAGAAAGGCTACCGATTATTTGTGCAAGTTCAAGGCCAAGGTTAAAATGTTACACCAATATCAATTCCCGCCTTTCTATATGCAGTGCACAGGTGCAGCTGGAACAGCATATTATATGGTATAATCATTAAATTCATTCAACCAGACCTTAGAGAGTTAAAAACATATATTCTGAGGAACAGGACTCTTCGGTCCAAAGAATGAGAATGAAACAGTGCAGAATATTTGTGTATCAAGGTGATTTGAGTTTCCAACTGGGGACCCGGAACTGTTAACACCCAGGTCCCCTGACAACTGTCCAATTATGTATATCACACTTGGCCTACTGTTTGCCCTAGAAGTAATCAATAAAGGATTTGGTTGAGTGAACATAGATTTTGGCTGAACCAATGCATGAAAACTTAATCATTTACTCAGGGAGCAGAAATCAAATAGGGCAGATATGAAACAGTCGCCGAGGGGTTGGTTGATTGTCCCACTAAGTTTGTGGCCACAGATGAAACTCATCAGGCAAATGGGATCGGTGACGGGAGAAAATGTAAAAAAGCCGTTCTTCATTTCATGAATTAATAGGGATGTTTTCATGTAGTTTGGAGGTCATTTTTCGGAAATCTCGCATCAAAGCCTGGATGCTCCATTTTAAAGAATCTATATAAAATTACTAGGGCATGTCACTCCTCTCAAGAAAGAGGAAATTAATTTTCAGCTATAACAGAGAGGTAATTTTCACCCTTGAAACTTTGAACTGATTGATTTAAAGATCTCCACTGTGGAAAGTTTTCCAGGAAATAATTTAACTCGAGTTTGCAAGAAAATTTACAGTTGGTATGAAATAAACTCAGAGGAGGGTCTTGAGACCACTGTGTCTCCAACACAGTTTTTTCTTTCTTGTTGGCATTTAGATTTTCTCAAGTAGTTGTCCTGATTGGTTTGAGGAGTCATGGCATTTCATTAAATGAGTTACTCCAATAAATGCGAATATACATGAATGTGTGTGTGTGTGTGTGTGTGTGTGTGTGTATGTGTGTAAAAAAATTGAGGCATTCCTTTCTGCATTTACTTAGACTGTCTATGTAGGAATAATATTTACTTGGTAGATTTTTCAATTCACCTTTCTTTTGTTCATCAAGTATAATTCTGGTGTTTGAATAGTAATGTCTGAGGCCTTCACTCTACCAGCTGAGCTATCGAAGGGATGTGTCATAACATCACTTCTTCCCCTATGCCCTCACTTGTATTCCAAGTAAGGAGGAAAAAGACACCGTAAATACTGATTTTCTTTTATATTTAAACCCTGTGCAGTGAATGTTATTCAGGTCAATACAAAAACAGCACGACTTGTTCACTGCTCAAGCCTTTCTTAGTAGCTAACACAGGATCTACATCTAGCATCCACCAATGAGCAACTCCATATGACCAAATTCTCAATCTGGAGATAAGGGGCTGTGTTTTTCAATTGAGGGCTTACAATAAATTCTCATAACCATTTTAGAAGCTTCCAGCTTTAGAGCGAATTCACCTCTCATGCACGCTCAGCTGACAGCCCTCGCCACACTTATCCTAGTCATGGCCATCCTCTTCCATTTCCCTTAAGGAGATAAAATATGTTTATAGAGATGGGGCTACCTACCATTAGTAAACTGGTACAATTGCTTGGGTTAGGAAAAAGAGATTTAGAGGTGATGCTAACCTTCACACACAACTTGATTTATTTTTTTTTTACCTTCCACTACTGTAATTTCAACTATTTGGGCTGTGGTGGGTTTTTTTTTTGTTTTTTGTTTTGTTTGTTTTTCACTGGCTGGTAATCTGAGAACAGTTTAGGACTATGAAAGAGATAACGCGTGTGTGTGCGTGTGTTCATGTGTGTATGCATGTGTATGTGCATGTGTGCATGTGTGTGTGTGAACAGATGTTTAGTGAAGAATGTCAGACCCTTGAAGCCACATTTTCTAAATATGAGCACAAAATTCATATCCAAGGATTTGCTTATTTCATAGACTCTGTTCAATAAAGTGTCTCTGATAGCCAGGTGGGGGCCATCTACCTATATGGAATTTGGGGTTTTGAAACATTTGCCAGTCAGCAGATCATAATTTTGAATTCCTTGCACAGGTAGTAAGAGAATACCAGTGTTCCCCATAGCCAACCATGGGGCCCAATGGCAGGTTTGCAGTGGATGGCTTAGAGCTTTGAGAACTTTCCCTTGGGCCTCTAGAAGCTCACACTCTGCTGTGGGTAACAGAACATTATGAAATTAACAACTCCTGTTTACCAAACCAAGCACTGACAGCCTGATTGTTCATTAGTAGAAGGCAATGTTTGTAAGTGGGATTAGCTTCTCTTAGGAAAAAAAGGGGAGGAGGGAATAGAGACCAATCTTCTAGCTCTGTTACATGTTTGCCCCTAAGGCAAGATGCTGGGCTATTGAGTTTGGTTGGACGAGAACTGTCCCCATTCCTAAGCAACACACACTGGACGTCCCGATCCATCAGATAGCGCTGTATCCTTCCCCTCTCCCAACGCCAAATAATACCCCAGCAGCCAAAATGAAAGATTAGCTGCTGTTGTCACACGTTTATCTGATAATTGCTTAACTGGATAGAAAGAATTCAAATTTTGGAGTATTTGACTAAAATATTCCAGATGAGATACAAAGTGAACAAATGAGAATGACTTGAAACCAACCTCATGTCTCCAGAAGTTTCTTTTTCTTTTTGCTGGTCCTAGGGCTTGAACTCTGGGAATGGGCATTGTCCTTGAGTTTTTGCTCAAGGACACTTAAGCCACAGTGCCACTTCTGGCCTCTCCTGAGTTTTTGTTGGAGATAAGAGTCTCAGGACTTACTGGCCTGGGCTGTCTTTGAACTGCAATCTTCAGATCGCAGCCTTCTGAGTAGCTAGGATTACAGGCTTGAGCCACTGGTGCCTGGCTTAGAAGTTTCTAAAGTAAATATGAACAGCATCAGCAACAAAAGGGGCCTTCTAGAATTTGTCCTTGGACAGAGTGAGTACTTAGTATTTCTAAAAGAAAAGACATATTTTCCCCTGGAGTCTTACTCTAATTTAGTTTTTTATAAAACATTTTGTATTAGCAGATGGCAGTTGTACAAGGGAGTCTGTGATGTTTTCATATATGTGTAAAATGTACCTATCCTGATCAAATTCACCTCCTCTGTCATGTTCCCTCATCTCCACTCTGCTTCTTGACAAAATTACAACAGGTTTCACTGTTCTGTTTCCACACATGCCTATAGTAACCGTATTAACACCCACCGGAACCTGCTCTCCACTATCATCATTCACTTTGTTTTAGTGGATACTAATTGTACAAAAAAGGGATTTTACCGAGACATTTTGCACATGCCTACAGTAGAACTGTCTCTTTAGATTTGTGAGGACATATGGAAATACCATTTTATAAAAATTATAAACAACTTTTTTATTTATTTACTGCTCTGCACACTGAGCTCAGCTTTATCACCCCAAAACATGATGTTGACTCCATTCATTTTCTACTAACTTGCAGCAGTGATAACAAGTATTTAATAATCATAATTTAATAAAAATCAACTACACCAAAGAGCACAGAGCTGATTTCCTCCAAATAGACATGAACCTGAATACTTATCAATCCCTTATTTCAATTTCAACTTTGCATTTTAGAAAGGAATAGCTGGGCTGCTGTTCTGGGAACTGCACCATCTTTGTTTGGGGGGCTACAACACTCCCTGGTTGCTTGCCTTTCTTAGCGGTGGTTCGCCCTTCTTTTCTGAAGTAAATATCTATATCCCTTTGTATCTCTATATCTATCTTCCCAAACCACTTATCCAGCCATGACTGGGCTTTATTTTGTCTTTCTTAGGGCGCCTTCCATGTTATCAGCAGTGATTGTAAGCAGAGATTACTATGTTAGCAGTGGAAGTCCTTTAATAATCCCACTTTCAACCTGCTAGGCACTTCAATATGAAATTCCCTTCAAACAACAATTTTGCCTTGAAAACGCCACCTTTATATATCGAAATGGTATACACATGGGAGGAAATTTGGAGTTGACACAATCTTTATCTATTACTGCTATTACTCGAAAGTCATATTCTGAATCTAAGGAAACACACTGGAGCACAAGCCCTTGCCTTGAACAACTTATTGTTATTCTATCTTGGTTGCTACATAACGGATGATGCAATGGGACATAACAACAACTACAAAATAGCGGGCGAGGGGGAATCATTTATTTTTCCATCAACCACTATGCCATCAGAAGTTGTCATGTACATTTTGATCATCTTCTATTTTAAATGAAATTGGGAAGATTGGATTTTTTTCCACCCAACTGTGTATCTAGACATGCTCAAAGGAGAGATGTCTTAATGGATGAATCATGGTTGAAACAAATGGAAAGTTTCCTCCAAGTGGAGCCCTGGAAAGGTTATGGCAGCCAGAGCTACTGAAGCATACAAGGCAGTGCACTGTGAGTTCTGGGCTGTCTTAACCTGGGAGCTGTGACCTGATTTCTACCCTCGTCTCTTGCATCCAAGGTCACGGTTAAACTTAAAAAAAAATACTGAAAATAATCTGAAGGAAGAGTAAAGAGGAGCTTGATGCGTCTTTTAAAATACCATATTGGTTTAAAATAACTTATGAAGAAAGGGTCACTTAAGAAGGACACTGCTTAAAATTTAAGCAAGCAGTAATGGAAAGCGACAGACCTCAAACAATTTAAGTGTTTCGCGGTTGAGTGAATTCACAGTGACAGCAAGAAGGGGGTGCGCTAACTTACCACTGCAGGACCTTGGCTATTGCCTCATAGGCTCTCCCAAGGCTGAGATCATCGTCCTGTTCGGTAGAGATTTGGCTGTAGGTGTTCAGGTCCTAGGGAGAGAAATATATATTGAACAAAGCCTGCCCCCTTCCACTGATGGTTCATTTCATAACAGAAGAGACTGAGATTAACAGTTGTTTTTAATGTCTCAATGAAATGTCTTTTTTTCTTGATTAAAAATTCATGTTGGCTCAGTTTATTTTTATCTATAGTATAACATGTACCATGGCAATCTCTTTGAGCCATGACAGTGAGGTCTTACTTTGGTAAAAATAATAATTCTCTTGCACCATCCCAAATCTGCCAATGTATAAAACTTAGGTGTGAATAAATAATTGAATGGCTTCCAACATTATTTTAAAAGATGGGACTATTAGCTAAGGTAATATAAGGCAGATTATAATGTTCTACAATGCTAGTTTACATATCACTTTTCTTTCTATAAATAGCGATTTGAAGAGCATGAATTTAAGTGACAGGCATTCCTAAATCTATCATTTTATTAGATTCATAGCTCATCATGAGGATATTGTGTGATGAACACTAAAAATATTTCATACAAATGTACTTGATTACCACCAATCTCCTCAATAATCACAAGATTACAGCTGCCACAGCCAAACATATGATGTTAATTTAATTTAATACTGACATCATCTGCACGCTATAATTTTCCTCTTTTCTATTCCCCCCTCCCCTTGCAACGGCCACAAGGGGGAAAAATATACATAAAACAAAATCCCTTTCCTTTCTTCCTTTATCTTGACTTGACCCAACCTATTACACACATGAGGACACAGGAAATCTCCAAAGACCTCTATGGAAATCCGTTCTGCGCATCTTCTAAGAAAGAATTGCTGAAAGTCATTTGATGGTATTTGAGGGGAGCCAGTGGGGGGAGGGGCCCATATGGGCCCTGTGTACTAATGACTGCCTGCTTAGGTAGCCTGGAAGGCTTATGTATTAGGGCAGGACTGGCAGGACTTTACTTCTCTAAACTTAACATGTGGGAAATAATTTTAGGGAGGTCTGGGTGCTATCTCATAAAAGTTATTTTTAATGTAGTTTCCTTCAATGTAATACTGATGTTAACATTTACTCATGGATGTATCTTAACCCTACTAACTCCAAACTCATTCCTACTAAGCCTGCAATGGTAAAATTTTTTTAAAAAAATTAGTCAGTTTTAATGCGCAAATAATAATTGTGCCTAATTTACATTTTAGAGTCAGTCAAGCAGAGATTAAAATGCTCATTGCCTCTCTAACTTGTTTTTTTTATTTTCTAAACTTCAAAAGGTAGTTTGAGGGTGGGGGTCATAATTTAATATGCCCATCCGAGTGGACTGTAAGCCAAAGAAACCTTTCCTCCCTTCAGGCTGTTTATGAAAGGCATGCTGTGACAGGCCTTTCTGTCACATCAGCAAAAGTTTAGCACAACTGTTGTACCTACTATTTATAGTAGGTAAGGTATTACCTACAAATTAATAGGCATTGATCGACACAAATCAACTTGAAAAATTAAAGAGTAGAATCGATTTTACAAGTAATACTTCAAGTGAGAAAATGCAATGTGGAATGCTGAAGTATTGTTAAGCCATTCTGTGTGTTAGAAGCAAATCTATCATCGGGTTGTTTAAAATCTATCATTGCAAATCAAAGAGAGGCGAGAATAAAGAACCCCAAGGTATAAAATATTTTGATTGAAAAAACATGTATCTTTAGAGTTTATAGTCAGTGGATGTAATAGATGTGTGCTAAAAGGGAGAGGGTGCCACTGACTTAGCATGACACCATGTAAACTTCAAAGTGCCTGCAGCCATCAATAGTGCAAAAGTCACCAAAGTTGGAAAAGTCAGTTCATAATAATCACTGAGTGCTCCCTACCTTGGGACCCAACCTCCCAATAACTCCAATGAGCAGTGAAGACGCAGCTTTGAAAACAATTTCACTAGGCTTTGAAATGAAATCCGTATATTTGGGGAAACTTTTACACATAATATCCAGGTTCTTAAAATAAGATAAATACTGTTGGCCTCTATAAACCAAACTTGAAGTATAGTCAACATTGAAAATGAACATGTGCAAAATGTTTGGAAGAATTAGTTGCTGTAAAAGCAAGTTGTAAAGTTCGTCAATTTCTTTATTCAATAGCTTTCAGGTAGACATTGTATTTAAGTCAAGATTGTTACCTGCCAAGAACCTGAATAGGATACCTATCTGCTTATCTATTCTCTTTCATTTATCTATCTATCAATCTATCTATCTATCTATCTATCTTCCTACCTATCTATCATCTATCTACAAGACAGAGCGTAGAAAAGTGTCTTTCTAAGAAGAATAAGAATTGAAACTGGATTGGAATAAATTTTGTGCTTGAGCTTTAGCATATTTAAGGAGAAAACAAAGAAATTCTTGAGTCTAATACAATTAGCATTTGATTATTTCCTTTTAATGTATATAACTACTAGTTTACACAGAACAAAAAAGACAACAGACTTTTGGAAGAAAAGATAGCAGCCTGGTGTTTATCTCTCCTTCTGTCTTCTTATGACCCCATTGCACTTCTTTATTTTAGACAAGATTAAAACACAAACAATTGCAGCAGTCATGGCCCTGAAGCTCACACTTACAAACTTAGTTTAAACCTCTTTGATGATTATCATGCCACACTTAACTTTGCCAAATTGGACAGAAAACTCTTCAGTACAGCTGGCTACTTTAAGACAACATTGTTCCAGCTCATTTGTTTTAAAGACAATTAAAGGTAATTGTAGAGTCACATGAAGTCAGGAAATAATGACGAGAGAATCTGTATACACTTCACCCAGTGTCGCCAGGTCATGACTTCCCACATGGCTACACAATGGTATTGCATCCAGGAAACGGGCAATGGTGCAATCCGTCAATCCCACTCAAAGGACAGCAGTTTTACACACACTTCCTTGTATATGTGGGTATGTTTTATGCTATATTATTATATGTGTATCCATTCATGTGATTAAAAGTTCAAAACACAGAGATTTCCACTACACAGTTCCCCCATGCCACCCTTCCCATTCCCAGTTCATTTTTCTGCTTAGAAGAGGGGGTAGGGGAAGAAAAGAGAATGACAGAGAAATAGTTTGGTTCTTTTCCTTGAATGAAAAGTCTGCCTTGTGAAACCCATTGAAATATTTGGCATCTGTTCCCTACTCTTGTGGTGTATCTGCTTTAGTCTGGCTATTTGTAGTTCCCCAGCGAAATATCCCCAGCTAAGAAACAGAAAGAAACCAGTGGGTTAAACTCATTCATACTTCCATGTGAATGATTCAGGCATCACTAAGTCTGCCAGAGAAACTTTCAGCTTCAAAAAGAAAGAGCCATTTCCTTGGTATTTTATGTAATCTAACAAGTGCAACTTCCTTCCATCCCTCCTTTCCTCCCTCCCTTGCTACCTTCTTTCCTTCCTTCCCTTCTGTCCCTTCCCTCCTCCTTTCCCTCCCTTCTTTTCCTCTATTTCTGTACCTTCAGGAGAAAGATTAGATCGGATGCCACACCTCTACAGGTAACTTCTTCTATTGTCATTGCTTCTTGTTATTATTCTTTTTAGAACTTCAGCTGGGAAGGTGGCTCAGTGGTAGAGCGCTTGCCTTGCATGCATGAGGCCCTGGGTTTGATTCCTCAGCACCACATAAGCAGGAAAAAAAAAGCTGGAAGTGGCGCTGTGGCTCAAGTGGTAGAGTGCTAGCCTTCAGCTGAAGAGCTGAGGGACAGCACCCAGACCCTGAGTTCAGGCCCACAACCGGATCCTCCCCCCCCCAAAAAAAAGATTAATAATAGAACTTCAGAACTAGTGTGCCATGCAAGGGACTCTTCCAGGCCACTGTATTAGGTGTGACAGCTAGATCTAAAATTGTGTCTCTACTTCTAAATGCATTACTCCTTAAGAGAATAAAACTTACAGTCATTAAAAGGGCTATAAAAATGGAGTCCAAAGATGTAGAATATTTATGTATGTCATTACGTAGATGTTGAGTGTTCTCTAGAGGACAAGCCTTGCTGTAGGTCCTAGAACCTAGAAGATTCCCTGCCCTTTGTAACCAACATTGCATTTGGACAAAGAGGAGGCAATTGGCAAGAATATATAAATATATATGTATGTGTATATATATATATATATATATATATATATATATATATATGCAAGCAAGCAGATTTCAAACTCATAAGCTTAAAAAAATACAGCCAGGAGTGGCTCATGTGAAAAGAGAAACCCAATAAACTTTAAAGGGATTGGGTCAATAGTATGGGGGGGGGGGAAGGTTGAACAAATGTTTGGAGATGAGAACAAATAATCCAAAGCAAAGAAAAGGCATTTATCAGGATACAGAGAAGTGACACTATTCAACAGAAAAGCTTGCTGTAAGTGACAGGCTTTCAAATTATAATTACAAAGATTTGCTTATTGTTGGGACGGCAAGGTAGGTCATCCATTTCCATCCTGTTTATTCTGCATGCACAAAAATACCCAGGCCTCTGCAAAATTGAAAAAGAAAATCACAGTCTGTTCTGGTACTTCCTGGGAAGCAAGCATGTGTGGTCACATTCAAGATGGTCTGGCGAGCTGTCTTCTTTCCCAGTATCCCAAGTTTTCAAATATCATGTGCCTCCTGAATGGAGAAGAAATACTTTGCTTTTTCCTCCTGGCCCCTCACTGCACAATCGATACACACTACCAGATTACCCAGGCCAGGGACTCGAAGCTTCAGTGGCTTTGACCACCATCATTCCTATGTGAAGACAATCCTCAGATGTACTATATGAAGTAAATTCTGGAATCTAGCTTCTTTGAAATGGGCATATTGAAGCCGGAAGTGGTGCTGTGGCTCAAGTGGTAGAGCACTTGCCTTGAGCTGAAGAGCTGAGGGACAGTGCCCAGGCCCAGAGTTCAGGTCCCACGACCGACAAAGAAAGAAATGTGAATTATGAATTTAGATCCTTCTTTGCTTCCTCTTTTAGATATATTTTTCTCTCTACGTTCCTTTCCCTGTCACCCCACCCACACCCCA